ACTACGTTGTCCAAATCACCTAAAGATCACTTAAGCAAAAAAGGTTACAAGACAACGTTTATTCGACGTCGCAGAAGTTTTTACTTTGTTGTATAGTCTATAAAATGAATAACTTTGAATTTTGACCGTTATTTTTTACCAACATGGCAAATATAAAATCCCTCTATCAAAAAAGTTACTGATATTCTTTAAATTGAGTGCCTAAATGAATCAGATAGGTAACTCTTTTTACTTTCGTGAAATAGAAAAGGAAAATAATAAAACAAGTGACGAACTCTTCTTGCAAAAATTAACACGAAATGTCATAATTGACAAAAGTAAAATGTCATCAGCTTTTGACATTTCAAAATAGTAGACCAATGCTGTCTCTAATAGAACAGCCTCGGAGCAAGATTTATGACGTCACGCTAGTTAGATACTACGGATTAATAAATATGTTGGAAAACACATGGAAACATAATTATTTCTCGTATTTTTGGTTTGTATTTTAAAAATGATATAGTTTACTTAAAATATACATAATTTACAGTTAATAAATACAATATAGTATATACATATTTATAGTAATAAATACTTTGGCAAATAAACTATGAACCACACAAATGCAGCAAATGTTTTACAATATACAAATAATGAATAGGTGGTACATAAGATAATGGGTAAAATGCAAAATATATTTTAAATTTTGGGGTTCGAAAATCGATCTAATTTAACAAAAAACATTCAATATCTACTAATAGTGATGTATTATTATTTGCATTCACAAAATTTATTTATATATTATAATGTTTACTGCAATTAATAGACTAATATAAACTTGTCAAAAGATGACCACATATTTTTTTAAATTATTATTCTTAACACAAAAACTATCTACATTGACTATAGAGTACGATTTCAGCCATATTGTAAAACATTTGCTGTATTTGTATGGTTCATAGTTTATCTGCCAAAGTATTTATTACTATAAATAGGTATATATATTGTATTTATTAACTGTATATTATGTATATTTCATGTAAACTATATCATTTAACCAAAAATACGAGGAATAATTATGTTTTCCATGTATTCTACAACATATTTATTAATCAGTAGTATCTAACTAGCGTGACGTCATAAATCTCGCTCCGAGGCTGTTCTATTAGAGACGGCATTGCGTCAGCATGGCCGCAAGTTGCTAACCTAATAAAATTAACACTAGAAAAGCCCGCGGGAACTGTCAAATTCAAAGTTATTCGTTTTACAGACTATAGTACTAGTTCAACGTCAGCACAACGTCACAATAACGTGTATATTTATTTTAATACCTAAGGTACGGAGCTAACTATTTTTTGTAACTAATCCAACGTTGTGTTTAGTAAACATGTGGTCGCAAGTCCTGAAAATGCTACTTGGGATTACTCGTAGCGATTTTTACCAAGAGACCTTTTTTACGTAAAAAACGTCGTAAATGTATATTTTTTTACTCAGTGGTTTTATACAGGTACAGAAGAAAAGTTATTACTCTTCAAACCAGTTAAAAATATGTAGGTGGCGCCCTCTACTAGTAGGAGTCATATTGACATCAAAATTATCATGCCAGCAAACGCACAAACACCAATTTTCATCGAAATATTGACGTTACTTCAGAAATTATTTGGAAAAAATCAAAATAAAAATGAAACTTCTACACCCTGTAGTCTCCGAAACTAAGTACCTATTTTAGAACATACATTTATACGAACTTTTTTACTTATTTTTATCTGCAGAATATGCCGCCGAAATTTCCGGAATACAGTTCGGACCACCCTGTATATTGTTTATATTTTAGTTTTGATGCTTAATATAGGTTTGAATTTACTAAAATACAGGGTTGTTCAAGGTAAAAATTACGGTAAATGTAAAAATCTGAAATTATTGTTGTTTATAAAAAATAAGAATATGAACTATCGGCTATCGGTATAATTTTTTTGGCTTTCATTCGGGCTTTCATTTCAGGCAAAAATTCAGACTTTTACCATCAGTAATTCTCCATAAACAATAGTATAGTAAAAAAAATATAAACCTGTCACTGTGACTGTTATAAAGATCAACGATTAGGCGTTCTCAATATAGAGCAAAACTCGATTTAAAATGTTGTGCCAACGCCTACTGCGACGTCTACTTTTTTTAATCATCGATATTATTTTTGTTGAGCCAGTCTAAATTAACAATGAAAGTTAATTTTGTGTTATTTTTCTTGACAGTTCTGTAATTGTTAAAGGTTTTAATTGTTTTTGAAGTTTGTAGTATGTTCTTATTGGGGAATATAGTTTGTGGTGTGTTTTTTTTTTATATAAAAATGACTGTTATATTATATAAAACAGATAAAAATATTTGTGTGTTCTTGATAATTTTATAATTTTAAATGATCTTACAAGAGTTTTAAATATTTATTTCTATAATTTTAGGAAGTCTGTGTTTTATTTTTTATTTGGAGTTTTAGGTATATTGTTTTTTTTTATTAAAAATAATTATTATTTTATAAACGATATAAAAATATGTTTGTGTATAGTTTATTAATGTTTAAACAATCTCAATTAGTCGAATTTAATGGCATTAAATTAATTTTTGCATTGGTGTATGTTTTCCTGTCATATTACAAAGACAAACTCGAATAATTATATATGTACACAATGATCTGAATCTGTCAAATAAAGATTTGCATATATTATGTCTACCATGTATATAACATTAGATAATATTTTATTTATTTAAATGTCACTATAAAGCAGCCTTAAGATTTTTTTATTTGTGTTGCAATTTAGATGTAATAAATAAAATACTTCTTGTGTCGTAGACTGGTTTTTAATATTCTTTTAGTTTGTTATAAAATATGACAGTATAGTGCGGACAGTATGTCAGCGGGAAGATCCCTGACAGCGACAATTGTGACTGTCATTTTAATTAACAGGCAAATTGAATTTTCTGTCATTTATTGATGTCGTCTGTCTTCCCTTGCTCGACACTATATCCACTATCTATAGAAGAAATCATGAATATAAATTCATGATTTCTTCTTCAAGAATAATCTTACATTCGAAATTTTCTGTTGTGTATGGTAGGTATCATTGCTGTTTATACAGGGTGGCCCATCGAAACCGTTCCGCAAGGCATAACGGCCAGGGTAATTTTTTTTTTCAGAAAATTCAAAAACACGTCAATTTCGTTTGTGAGACTCAAATAACAAAAAATACACGAATATCTGGGTAGATCTGCAGATTTCCATACTTATGATCGTATATCGACAGGCTGGTTATGAATAGGCTGTGGTTTTACGTTTGCACTTTTTTTTCTTCAAAGGATATGATCTACTAATAATTAAGAACTTCAAAATCTTTTTATTTTTAATCGTTTTTAAAATTTTGTCTAACAAATTAGTCTTGAAAAACTTTAAAAAGTACTTTATGAAACATCAAAAACTGTTTCTTAAAAACCAACTCCATAAATTATAAAAGAAAATTATAATGACAGTTGTATTCATATAGTACCTAATAAAGTTATCTTCTGTTCTTTATAAATTTATTGCTTATTAAAATATAACAATTTTTCATTCTTAGCATTATAATAGACAATATTTTCCAATAATATATAGGTACCCATTAATTTTAATTTACCATTAAAAGATGTTTTTAAAAAAAATTCGACCCACAAAGCAACTTTATGATTAATTTACCAGAGCACAGATACGCTAAATAGCAAAAATTAAACTTGTTAACCAGGTTTGATTTTTTATAATCGAGTTTCATTTAAATACAAACGATCTGCTTCAACAACAGGTCCGTAACCAATCTACAGGTATATTCAAAAGTATTTTAGAGTTTTTTTTCTTTTTTTCTAATCCTTGTATACAAACTTTAGGGCAAGTAATAACTCTAATTAATAAAGAACAATTAACATTTCTGGTGGAATATTTGTATAATATTAATAAAATATTTAAAATTACCTAAGTTAGGATTTATATTAAATAGTATTTAAGATAATTACAGAAAATCTAATTTTAAAAAGGTTTAACATCCTGTAACTCTAAAACTATGCATTTCCATATCCATGTTTATAGGAACTTTCTTTCATATTTTTTTGATGAGGAATCAATGACTACTTATTTAAAACTTTTGCAAGTTAATTCTATTAATTTTTTTAAAGGTTCGTATAGACTTGGATCAAGGCAAATTTATAAAATTGCGTTTATCTCATCAAGGAGGCCGAAATCAACAAAATATTAAGAGACAACTTTTAATCGGCATTAAACGGCTTACACTATTTCGCTTTCGCTAACAACAGAGAAAAAGTCAGTGGCGTACATGCTCTTTTTAAGAACATTATTCCAGTGATAATCCATATGCACGTCCCTGGTGAATATGTCGACACTTTTTTAGCTGTAAAATATGTCGTATTTATAGTAACTTTTACCCTCAAAATTTCATTCGAAACGCTTAAAGTACTTGGAAGAAAATTATGACAAATAAATCTTATTTTTACGTGAGGAATTTCCCCACGAGAGATGGCACATGTTTTTTTGAAACACCCTGTATATTTCTATGCGAAGGCCTATTTGCTTGGACTTTAGAATATTGATAGCTTTATAGGAATACAGGATCACCTTGTGTAATTTTATTATAATAAAAAATTACAGAATTACCTGTATTCCACAATTTTATTAGCTTATTTTGCACTATAGTATATTTAAGTAGCTCTGTGCACGTATGGACTTGTATTCCTGAATACAGTCCTGCTACACCTCTTAGATTAGCATAGAAGAAAAACCAATTACATAAATCTGAAATTGCCATTTCCAATAGAATAAGATCGAAAAAATCTAGGAGCCCTTGTGCTAGAAAATTGTTTTCTTTTGACACGACTTGATTAGTTGATTCTTGGGGAGGTGGAGTCCTCGTTTACTTATAGTATATACCTATAAAAGAGTGAACCATAGTGCATTATCATTCATAAAATTGCAGTGTTATTGTATTAGTTACTTATTCTTGCATTCAAGTAAATAAACTACGGCAAAATGTTCAAACTGGTAAGTTAAATTTTTGACTCTTTATAGAATAAATTATGATGATCGATAAAATATATACTGATGTTTCTTAAAATATATTGTATGCAGGGAGTCCAAAACAAAGAAAAACTTTATGGGGGATTCCATGTTTAAAACAGTATTTTTTTATATAAATTTTCTAAAATCTACCATCTGGATCAGTAAAAATGTGGCGAAAAATAATCTTTTTAATTTTTATCTAAAAAACGAAAATCGATAGGATACTGAAACTTTATGAGAGTATTACTACAATGAAAGCACACTATCTTCATATTTTTTCTATCTTCAATTTTATTATGATAAAAAAGTTACCACTAGAATATTTTTCTAACAAAAGAAACTGTTTTCCACTGACTTTATCTTGTTGGCACAATTGTGTAGGACTTTTTGGAAAAGTTGTCTCTTCATTGATATTGTGATATTATGTCGATTTCGATCTTATTGTTGAGATAAACGCAATGTTATTAATCTCTCTTAGTTCAAGTCTAATAGCAACCTTTAAAAATTTGAATGTCAAATTGTTAAATAAAAAAAAATTATTGATTCTCCATAAAAAAATGAAGAAAGGTTCCTATAAAAATGGTTGCAGAAGAATTAGGTCCTTTGTAATTATATTAATTACGATTATTTTTTTGAATTTGCTGTGGGTAGTAATAAATTTTAATAATAAATATAAATATTTATAAAATTAATCAAAAACGACCTATACAATACTAGAGCAAAAGTCAGTGGTGTAGATGTTTTTTTAGAAAATTGTTCCAGAGATAGTCCATATGCACGTCTGTGGTGAATGTGTCGACACTTTTTTAGCATTAAGTTATGTAATAGTTAAAGTAACTTTTACCCTCAAAATGTCATTCAAATCGCTACTGGCGCTTGGAAGAAATTTATAATAAATCGAAAAAAAAAGGAAGACACTAACACCCTGTAGCTACCAGGGGCGTAGATAGGTGTATGCTATGGGGGTGGTACTATGATTAAGTCGCAAAAAAATCACCGTCGGAATTTTTTTGTCGAATTAAAACGACGGCGATTTTTTTGTCTTCAAAAAGATATAAAAACATAACACAAAAATTAAAATATAGATTTGTAAATAACATAAACAAAAATGAAACAACGACGTTTATTAGTTAATTTTCTATAAACTATAAAAAAAAACTCTAAACTATCAAAAAAAACTATAAAAACTATAAACTATAAATAAAACTACAAAACAAAATCAAGTTTTCTAGTACGCTGTTTCGAAAACCTATCAATAACAGCATCAACATTTATTTCAATATCTTTATGGATATTGATTAGAGTTAACCCCACTAATCTGTCCTGGCCAATAAGAACACTTTGTGTGCTTTTAATTAGGTCGAACATATTATAAACGATAAATCAACATAATTAAAAGCATACAAAGTGTTCTTATGTCGGATTTTAATTAAAAAAAATCCTTTCATAGTCAATGACTATTTCAATTCTCGTATCTCGTCAAGCGTCAGGGGGGGGGGTACTGTCCCCCAGTACCCCCCCCTTATCTACGCCCTTGGTAGCTACGAAACAAAGCAGAATCGGGCCTAGGTTGATATGAAATATAAATCTTATTTTTACGTGAGGAATCACAGATGTTTTTGAAACACCCTGTATAACTTTAAAACTACTTTTTTAAACACCCTAAATACAAATTTTATCGTTTCTCTTCAACCATATGGTATATTAGTTGCCTAATTCATTGTAAATATTAATTTTAGATTCTTCTTATTGTTATCATTTCTTATGCATCTGCGGGTATTATAAATCTCGATGAAGGATATGGATATGGTGGATACGGTGGATATGCTATAGCTGCCCCAAAAGTTGCTATTCCAGCACCAGCTATTGCTATTAAGGTAATTATAAGATCATTAATATGTAAACGTTATTTAGAATTGGTAGACTCTCCATTTTTTGTTAATTGTCATTCATTACTATTCTACATAGTATACATATTTAAATTTCTTCCTATAACTAGGCTGCAGCTACATCATACCAAAACAGTAATCTTTTGTCACTAAACCCAACTCCAATTGTGACCAAAACTGTAGCTACAGCTCCTGTTTTTACAAAAGTTGCAGCTCCCATTGCTGTAGCTAAAGTTGCTCCAATCCCATATCCAGCTCCGGCCCTTACTGTTGTTAGTTATGGTAAATCTTTTTTATTATTATATATAATAATATTAATATTACTTTATTTTGTAGGAGGCTATGGACTGGGCGGTTTGGGCTATGCCAAGTATTGAAAGGATTTAACTATTTTTTTGTTAGGTAGATTAACAGTGTTATTAATTGTTTTAACTTGTTAACAATAAAAATGAATTAAAATTATCTGTATTTCTATTAAATTGAATTAAATAATAAGGCCAAACTATGTCGAAACACCGGTTCCTGCTATAAAAAAACGGTATAAAAACATCTTAATAGTTCCATCATAATGCATTTAATATTCTTAATAATAACAGGAAATAATAAAGCTTATTAAAAAAACTGTACATTGTAAGACGCCCGGTATATTTACTTATTTCTATAGACTCTTAATTGAAATATAAGCGTAGAAAATGGTAAAAAAATCTTGGAAGTGGATTAATAACTTCCATGGTGATGGTGATGATGACCAATGGTGAACGCTACTGGTGTGATATGTGCTCCAACCACTGGTACTTGTGATACAGTCTGAAATAAACAAAAAATATTATATAGTACAATAGAAACAGACCAAAATAGTTTCCAAAAACATGCTGAAAAATGGTCAATACGTATTTTTTAGAAACAAAATGAAAAAGGACCCATTTATAATTGAAAATTACACTTTTTACGATAATTTAATAACTTGTTCATTATAAAAATACTTTTAAAGATAATAATAAGTACTAAGGAAGTTTATAGTACAGTTTTTGCATTTTTTGTCCTATTTTTAAAAGTTTTTTCATCCAATAAATAAAAAATCATAGAGTTTTTAGTCAAGTTCCATTTCCTATTATCAGAAGTGGGATTAATTCTCAAATGCCAGTTATTTGCATAAACTATGTTTTTTAATGATACACCCTTTATATTAGAAGTTTATTAGATAGCAGATTGTTTTTTCCTTTCAAAAATACATGGCACACTTTTCTTTTTAACAGTTCTATAGAAATTTGATTAAAATATACACAAATGTTAATATGTTTATTCTTTCCCATTTAGATATTTATGTATAGTTGCACATATAATTTGTTTTCATCAAATCAATGTCATTCTTAGGCTCAGAGCCCTTTTGCAGCGTTGCAAACGCAGTCACAGGAATGGCCAACAAATCTCTACAATGGTAGAACAAATCAATAAAGCAAAAGCAGACAAACAGTTCATAGTATAACATTAGCCAAAATTTACGGCAGATATGATCAGCAAAGACAGTATTACTGACAGTTCATTGCAAGCATTCGTTTACAAAATACAATTTATAACTATGATAATTATATCGTTTGTGACAGAATTTAATTTAATTAAAACCGTATTAAATGTGGGATAAAATAAAATATAAGCACTGTACAATATGACAGAAGTTTTTGCCAACTGCACTAGTACACTCTGTACACACTTACACTTTGAACAATCGATCCTGGATGTACCACATCAAAACGAGATTGGCTACTGAAAGCTGTCGGGTAAACTATAGGAGGTCCGGCAGGAATGGCTGCAAAACTAATAGATGTATGTCTGCTATTATCATTACCTCCACCAGAGTTATTATCACCTCCCATTCCACCATTGGTACCTCCATTTGAACCTCCCTGTCCTCCGTTATTGGGTCCGGAACCACCAAAGCCCATAAAATTTCCACCTGCGCCTATATAATATTTGAAAAACGATCAATCTTATGATTAATTTGGTTATATCGAATTGTAACAAAATGGGACACCCTGGACATGTGAAAATGTCGTTTTTAGTTTGGAGCTACTATAAAATGCGTTTTAATCAAAATAATACCGGAAACATTGAAACAAGAGAAAGAGTGCATCTAGAAGGTACACTGTGAGTGTGGTGAGTTGTATATTCGTATATTGGAGAGACAAAATGTCCTGTAAATGTAAGACTTAAAAAGCATACTCAGAGACACAGAGAGATGGGGTTATGTATTGTATTGGAAGGCTGGGTTGTCCACAAGGAATCTCAATGGAAAATGCGCAAATTTAAAGACACCGTTTTTATATTAAACAGCAATAACATCTTTAGCAATCGAACTATGGATATTTCTACACCATGCCATATATAAAACGTACTAATGCTGGGGTCTTCAGTGGACAATCTCACGCTTGATTACGCCCAACAGAATAGACAGTGGTAGTCCGAAATTATTTTAATATATTTGTCATATTTCAAAGAATCGTTACTATAGATATTTATAATTACCACTTGCGCCACCTCCTACTCCCATATTAGAGCCACCAGCTGCTCCGTTTGGACCTCCGTTACCTCCAGAACTTCCAGCATTACCCGAATTCATTCCATTTGCTCCACCTGGACCTCCAAAGAAACCACCTGGGTTTCCGAAAGTGAACCCTACGAAGCTTCCGGCAGGTCCATTTGAACCTCCGTTGCCCCCAGCTGATCCAGCATCACCAAAAGAACCGCCGTTATTTCCCGGGTTTCCACCGTTTCCATTCGAACCTCCTGGACCTCCGTTAGGTCCAGATGCAGCAGCAAATAAGCCAGGGGCGTTTCCAAAACTAAAACCTCCACCAGAGTTTCCATTTGAACCTCCATTATTTCCAGATCCACCTCTAAAGAAACCGCCGGCATTTCCGAAGTTAAAACCGCCAAAATTGCCATTCGATCCTCCAAATCCGCCGCCGGCGCCGTTTGAACTGCCAGAAGAGTTAGGGTCTCCGAAATTGAAGCCTCCAAAGCTACCGGCTGGTCCAGCTGATGCTCCGTTGGCTCCCATGGATCCTGAAGCTCCTCCTGGAGTGGTGCCACTCGCGTCACCGGTATTTCCGGGTCCGGAGCCAGTGATTATGCCGAAGGAGTATCCGTTAAAGCTATTTCCACCTGCGAAACCATTGTTTCCTCCATTGTTACCTCCCGACATGGATCCTGCGTTCCCGGCATCTCCAGAATTACCAGAACCGCCATTGCTTCCCCCAGCACCTCCTGATGCTCCAAAGCCGGTGAATCCTGAAAATATGCAATAAAAAAAGAATGATATGTTCTTATAAAAACGTTCTAGATTCCGTTTTTTTTTTATATTTAGTTGTCATTCAAACAACTTTAAAAATGCTTGTTTTAATATACTCAGGTCGAATCAGTTGTAAGTATTTTTATTTAGAACGTTTGGTGCTTTATAAAGGTACCTGTTTTATCAAATTAACGTATTTTCAGCGTTACAGTGTTGCCGCTTTCTATTCGAGAACACTAGTTTTTTTTTTTAAACAGATACGTCTATAAAAACCGTTGACGTTCTGTTAAAATGACATTATATCCAAGTTAAACTTCAAAATTAACAATTATTACCTGATAACAATTATTACTTATTAAGGTAAAACCAAAAAGCTTCAAACTTTTAGTGTATGATTATTTTTTAATTTTGATTTTTTATTTTTAATTTTTACGTTATGCTATGTTTATTTATGTTATGATCTTTAAAATCAAAAAAGCGATTGGTATACACTACTGACATCTACAGATGCATGAGCAATACATTTATTTTCATTAGGTTGCATTAAGAAAACCTCTTTTATTTTTCTTTTACTACTTTCATTACTACTTATAAATTTATTTTATTATGGTATCCGAACAAAAATAAATGATTTAAAAAAAATCAAATCATCTCATTTTCAATATCTCATTTTTAAAAAGATATATGATTTCAGAAAAAAAAATAAACCACCACCCAGGAAGATCAAAAATATATTTTTATTTCCGTTTGTTATAAAAAATCTCAAGCCTTTACTTTACACCCAGAAGTTAATCTCTAAAGACTGGTCTTGAGCTTGGGTTTACACTAAAAGCAAGACAGACTACCGTAAGATCTGCAATACCAAGACCAAGACCGACCAGTGCAAGACTTTCACAAAACCAGGACCAAGCATGCGATACTTTAACAACAGTAAAAAATATGACGTTAATCGAAATTAATAATAACCATGTATCAAAGAATGAAATCGAAATTATATTACCATAGAAACGCCTTTTGATTTTTAGGACTAAAATAAATTCAAGCATATTTTCATGTTTTTGTTAATTTTCTCTAAAACGGTATGGAAATTTGAAAAACTATAAACGGGATTAACCATTTTAGAACAAGCAAATTTTTTTATGTAGAATGCATTTTTCTCAAAATGTCAATAATGAAGAAGTTTTTTTTTATCTTGCAAAGACAATCTGAGGACATACGGTAGTGTTTTCCTGCACAGCTAGCCTGTGCCAAGATGTCAAGAAAAAAAATATATAAACTTTGAGTACTTTATTTTTTTAATGCCTATACCACTGGCTTCAAAAAAATATAAAAATTAAAATCGCCGACGTACAATTGGGGTCTCTACACAAATTTAAAAAAAAAACTTTTTCAATCAAAGTAAAAAGCGCGCAAAAAGTTTTGTTAATAATAAATAACGACCATCATCACCAAAAGGTATGCTTACTGTTGCCCCCCTCCCTGTTTCTAAATCCAGGAGGTTGGGTCTTGGCACAAATTTAAATAAAAATAGACTTTAATTTAATAGAAAAAGCAAAAAAATATTTTTTTTCTAATATTTTAGTGATAAAATTTTACTTTATGATCATAAGTATTAGTAAACAAGTAAAACTACCAACTAACAATTAAAGAAGTACAATTAATAACTTTAACACACACTGAATTTAGACTAAAAAGGAAGAAAACAATTAGGTACTAGCTATAAGTAAATAAATAAATTTTAAACATGGTTACTGTTGCAGGAAGCAACACTCCTAAGGAGATTTTTTTGATAGTTTTTGTGATCTCGGATTTGAATTAAAGTTTTTTGAGAACAACTTAAAAGAATGATGCATCTGCTCTGAGGCTTGCTCAGAGTAAAAGCCCAATACTTTCTGTGAAATACTAACAAAATCCAGTATATGGTGAACAACAGCGTGAATTTTTGGAGTAAAACTGATTTTCGTATCTCTTATTTTTTTAAACAGCTGGCTACCACATCATTGAAGGTACAAAATACCTCTATGTATTTGTTGTCTAAAAAAAATAAGCAAAGGGCTTAGTGTCCAAATAACAATAATAAAATAAAGTTTTGTTACAAAGTAAGTACCAGGATCTAGTGCTTAAGGACGTCAACTTTTTTAAGCAAGTGTCTGGCATTATTTCCATTAAATCTGCTGTAATGGACTAATTGTATCCCAAAACTTCTTAGCCAGCTTTCAGCAATTTCCGGAAAGTCCTTTTTTAGAGAATCGTACATTTTTTGTACAACTCCCATCTAAATAAATATATAGTTGATAATTGGAAGATTGTCATCACCAGTTATTAAAGGGATGTTGACGCAATTCTCTAAAAATTTTAATTAAAATTTGCAAAAAATAACTATTAAAAAAGTCAATACTGTACTTTTTTGTTTCTTTTAAATTTCCACTTTTCTCCTCGTTCTATAATGTACTCCATTTGGAAATATCTTTTATGGATCTTAGTTCTCCCTTTGACTGTAAATTTTTTGAGTTAACATCACACCAGGCACATGGATGGCATGATGATAAAGATTGAAGGCCCAATATAATCATTATCAACTTTAGATCTGCGGCAAATGTGTAAGAACTGACTCCACAAATAGTATGGTGTTGCAAAATCTCAAACATTGCTCTGATATTTTTGTAGGTTTCTATTATTTTGGGAGCCAATCCTATTAAAATGCATTTGTTTATTCCGGTACTTTTATGTTTTTCTTGTTTTATTTCGGGATTTTCGTAACAACATAAAGACAGACAAATTTTTAAAGATCCACTTCCACTATCTATACTCAGTTTTAAATGGAAATTATCAGTTCAAAAGTTCACGTTTTTTAAACAAATGGTATTTCCACCAGGCCAGGCAGACAAATTGGTCAAAAAAAATCTCCTTAGGAGTGTTGCTTCCTACAACAGTAACCATGTTTAAAATTTATTTATTTACTTATAGCTAGTACCAAATTGTTTTCTTCCTTTTTAGACCAAATTCAGTGTGTGTTAAAGTTATTAATTGTACTTCCTTAATTGTTAGTTTGTAGTTTTACTTGTTTAATAATACTTATGATCATAAAGTAAAATTTTATCATTAAAATCTTAGAAAAAATTTTTTTTGTTTATTTTTATTTAAATTTGTGCAGAGACCCAACCTCCTGGATTTAGAAACAGGGAGGAGGGCAAAAGTAAGCATACCTTTTGGTGATGATGGTCGTTATTTATTATTAACAAAACTTTTTGCGCGCTTTTTACTTTGGTTGAAAATTTTTTTTTAAATTTGTGTAGAGACCCCAATTGTACGTCGGCGATTTTAATTTTTATATTTTTTTGAAGCCAGTGGTATCGGCATTTAAAAAATAAAGTACTCAAAGTTTATATATTTTTTTTCTTGACATCTTGGCCCAGGCTAACTGTGCCTGGCTATTACATAACATTTTAATGTCATAATACAAAAAATGCACTCAGTTTATTCTAAATAATGAAACCAAAGTGATTTCAAGTTTAACAGCTTCAGGTGTAACGTATTTTTTTTAACTTACCTATATTTGCAGCGCTACAAATCACAAGGACACAAGAGAAAATCAAAATTTTAAACATTTTGAACTTTACTAGATCTATCTACTAGAAAAAACAATTTTAAACTATAAGGCATTCTAATTTGTGTGTCCTTTTATACACCAAAAAAATCGTGTGCCATATGAGCCTGATATCTGCCGTTACAATTACTTGAAACTCATATAAAGTTACAACAAACTAAATTATTTTGAATTCTTGTTCCTTTAAGGTTATCTTGTTTATGTTAGAATGTGGAGCAATACTATCGTATCTTATTTAGTTACAACTGAGAGAAATTCATTCAGAAATTAATACTATAAACAAAGAATTTGTTAATGAAATTCGATGTTAATGTAAAATAAAGAATAATTTATTATTAATTAAAACCACATTATTTCTCGTACAATGTACCAATGTAATGATTGAAAAAAAAACGGCGCCAAAGAGTGCTGGGGAATAACAATTTTGCCGAGGTCAAGCCCTAGACGTCGTTTACTTGGCCCGTACTCTTCTTTATTTTTATAATGGCGCTTACTGCCAGTTGGATTTAAGAAGTTTGTAATTTATTTTTATATTGGGTAAAAGTTATTTTTAAATGGTGTGTAGTTTAAAACTCCAGAAAAATTTTTTTTTTTTTGGAAACAGATTTGTTTTTCTGGATACGTTCTATCCTTTTTTAATCTTTTTATAATTAGTGTCAATTTTTCGCAAATTTTTTTGTCAAATTTTAGTCAAATGACATCTGAAGATTTACCTCGCCAAAATTATTATCGATTGTTGTTCCCCAGCCGTCTTTGGCGCCGTTCTTTCCGATCATACGGTATCAGAGAACAGTAAAATATATGTTTACAATGTTTTTAGACAGTATGGGTCCAAAAAATTGGAGGATTACCATTCCAGGTTAGTCCGTAACATGTATACCTACCTATACCATCCTGACCACTTCATCTGCGTGGTGTGTATTTCAATACATGCAACAGAGATAAATAGAAATATAAATCTCCGTTTGACAGACAGAGAGACGAAATAAAAGCGGCGTACAGTGGTTAAATTGTGAATTTTTACCTTACAAATCAAAAGTTACTCAGGTTAAAAGTGTATTTTTTGGTTTTTTAGGCATTAGACTTACATGCGAGGGCTGTGGGAAGCTGTACAAAAACAAAGACAGCCTGAGGATTCATAAAACCTACGATTGCGAAAAACTGATGGTAAAACCAAAGCTACAATGTCAATTTTGCAGTTACACTATCGGAAGGAAGTACTGTATGAAGCTCCATCTTATACAAAAGCATAATTATCGCGGGTCGTAGATAAATTGTTGGTAAATAATATCTACAGGGCGAGTCTTAAATAAGTGCAAGGGGTAGTATATTTCGACCCCAAAAACACGATTACAAGGTTTTTCTCGCAAAAAAACAATTTGTTGGAATTTTTTGAAAAAAATTTTTTTTAGTTTTTAGTTAAAAAATAATTTCTTGATAATATAGCAACATAGGTAGAAGCACAGAATATCTAGCTACGCAACAGAAGCCTCGTTACATGTAGCAAAAGGAGACAGGCTTTAAAAGCCTGTCTCCAAATCAGATATTTTGATGTCGTAGTTTCGCTACTACATAATAGAGGGCAATAAATTTAAAAGAAAACAGTTTTCTACAAACAAAATTTTAAAGAATTTTGTGCAGTGTTGCCATTGTGTAATTCATATCGTAATACTTCCTGATAAAGCCTACCTTCAAATTTGCTACATCATTTAAACATATTAAAATAGATCAGAGCTGTTTTTTTCAGTTTGCCATGTTAGTTGGAATTAAATCTTATGAGCTAAATTACAATCACTTCCTGATGTTTGATTGTATAATTGAATCCTGAATTTTCATTGTAATTCGGCGACAATATAATAAGTATTGTTCTACTGTATATGTATGTATTATGATACCACTTCCTGACGTTCGATTGTGTTCATACCAAGTTCATATTGTATAATCGGGAAAAAACGGCGTTAGCGATAGCTATGAAATGAATATCACTATAATTTTATATGTAAATTTATATGGGAAATGTCATCGATCGTCCTTTTCCAGCCAACTGGACGCCGTTTTTTTCAGAAGCATATCAAGTGATACCATAATATAGTACTATATTACGATACATGGCGTTCGATTGGGCTTAAATTTGAATACTACGTACCTTCGGTGATATTGTAATATTATGGTACCAAGGAGCATAATAAGAGGTACCATAATATAGTACTATATTACGATACCATTTCCTGGCGTTCGATTGGACTTAAATTTGTTATACTACGTATCTTCGGTTACATTGTAATATGATGGTACTATGATGCATATAAAGTGGTACCTTAATATAGTACCATATTTCAATACCATTTCCTGGCGTTCGATTGAGCTCATATTTGATATATACTTGCGTATTTTTGATGACAATGCATTATTATGGTACCATGAAGCATATCAACTGGTACCATAATATAGTACTATATTACGTACATGGCGTTCGATTGGGCTTAAACTTGGGATACTACGTATTTTCGGTGACATTGTAATATGATGGTACTATGATGCATATAAAGTGGTACCTTAATATAGTACCATATTACGATACCATTTCCTGGCGTTCGATTGGGCTCAAACTTGGTATACTACGTATCTTAGGTTACATTGTAATATGATTGAACTATGATGTACATAAAGTGGTACCTTAATATAGTACCATATTACGATACCATTTCATGGCGTTCGATTGTTCTTAAATTTGGTATACTACGGATCTTCGGTGACATTGCAATATTATGGTACCTTAAAGTATATCGAGTGGTACCATAATATAGTACACTATTATGATATCATTTCCTGGAGTTCGATTGGGCCCAAATTTGGTATACTTGCGTTTCTTTGTAAAGATTTGTTTAATTAATAATTTTAATTTATTTTACGAATTTTAATTTATTGTTCGATGTCGTGACAGCAACTTTTATGCCGAACTAATATATTATTAATTGTACCTGTGTCACTTTTTAAAATCTACCTAGGTCTATATAAATAACGTGGCAAACGGAAGAAATTTGTTATTATAGTATTTTTAGTCAGTTAACATTTTTTGTACTGCATTTTAATAAATTATTTCCATTATTATTAAACTTATATTTCATTACTAACGTTCCAGCATTAATAAATATCACTATCAATCGCCCTGTATATTATTAATTTTAAATGTAATTAAATGTATTTTCTTAGTTAACATTATAAGGTAGTGTATATTAAAAATGTATATGTTTTGTAATAATATACTTAAAATTATTTTAATAGCCAAAGGAATAATTAATATAAGTGTATCTGACAAGAAAAGAAGAATAGAAAGAAACACATACTGCATTATACACAATAAAAAGAATGGGATGCCAATTCAAGTCTTTTTGAATCTGGCAACTGTGCATATTTAGCCGAGCTATAAGGCCGTCGACGAGCCGTCGATCCAAAACCGAAAGTTCAAAATTGATAATTATATTCTGATTATGATATTGTCGCGCCATCTAGTATTCTATTTGTGCAATTTTAGTTCATTCATTTCGAGTATTTTTCTGTTGCGTAGCTAGATATTCTGTGGTAGAAGATTAAATTTAAACAGAAAAAAGATCCAGCGGTTCTCAAAATTTAAGCAAAAAAACATTTTTTTAAGTAAAATAACTGGGTTATTTTGAACTTATTTGAAAAACGGTAAAGAGAAAATATGTTTCTTTTATCGAGATCTTCCAACCCTGAAAATATTTGTACTTACTTAAGATTCACCCTCTATAACTTTATGAGTTGTTTATTAGTAAAAAAAACTGTATATTTTGCTACTAAAACAGACAAAAAGAATATTTTTTTAAATTAATCACTGGGTCTAACTCAAGGGTTGATATATTTTATTTTAGATTTCTGTTTAAGTGGTCTTAATACCCAGTCTAATTTTAGTAAATTATACACTACACTGGCATTAGCGTAACTAGCAATTTTTCCTGGGGTGGGCCTGGGGCGCCTGGGGTTGAGCCCAGGGGGGACCTAGGGCTTTTGTTTATTTAAAAATGAAAAATAATTTTAAAAGACACATTTTTTGAATAAAACGTTTACATGAATTTCTCTGTCAATAAATTTCATAGACTCTGTTAGCACACCGTGTTCCCGTAGATTACTTAAATACCTACACATTTTTTAAAAAAACAAAAATTAACACATTTTTGAACACAACAAAATAATATTAACTAAACAAAACTAAAAAAACGTAATTTTTACTGCATCACAAGCAAATAAAAATTAATACGTAGTCAAGAGTCATAATTCAGGATTTCTCTGGGAGGTGCACAGCAGTACCTGGGGGTACCCGGTACTGCTGGGCACCTCCCAGAGAAATCCTGAATTATGACTTATGGCTGGCACCCCCGGCCACCCCCGGGCACCCCTGTAGTTACGCCAGTGTACACTGGATGTAAATTATTTTGTGCCATTTTAATAATGAGTGTTGTGTGAATATTTATAGTGTGATTTCCATATTATAGAAAGTTCGAAATATTATTTTCTAATGATAATAAATTTAATGTTTTTCAAACTTTGTAGTTTCTTTACTATTTTCAGTGTCTGAGACCAATTCCACACGAGGGGTGGCTTACTATTGGAATTACATGTACATTTTCTTGGCAGTCGGTGGCAGTCATTGGCAGTCACTTATAATAATTACGTGGCAGTTATAGGCCGTCTTCTTCGCAGTCATTGACAGTCGCTTAGAAGTAGAATGGTATTTTTTTCCCATAACAAGGGGCCGTCCTCTGCCGGAAACACTGCGACCTGTTAGGCCTATTGTGTTTGTCCCCCTTCTATATCTGCACCCATTCTCCTATCCCTGTGCCCTGCACTAGCTTATGCAGGTCCCTGATAGGATGGGAGCATAGTTCCTCCGGTTCTAGTCTAGTTTTCCCAAATAAAAAGTGTCGCTTGCGATCCAGAGCCTCGCAATGACATATTATGTGCTCAGCTGTTTCAGGATCTTTATCGCAGAGTCTGCAGCAAAGACTTCCTTGACAGGTTGAGCTTGATCAGGTAACACTTGACAATCATGTGTCCTGTCAAGAGGCCTGTTGTAATCCGATCTTTGTTCCTGCTAAGCATTAGCAGTTCTTTTACGGTTTTAGAGCTAGGTCCTTGGATAAAAGCCTTGCTGTGCCTGTGCCCCCGTCTGTTTCTCCAATGGACATTGTGCTTTTCCCTGATCCAGAGTTTTAGTGCACTACGGGCCATACACTTGGGTATTCTCAGGACTGACTCTGGACCAGGATAGGATGCCGATGATCCCTGCCTAGCTAGCTCATCGGCTTTTTCGTTGTCTTGGATGCTGCTGTGGCCCGGCACTCAGAATAATTTAATATGAATATGAATGATATTTTGGAAGTACTGTACATTTTTAACTCATGTGAGACACCCGTCGATTCCACATTATAATCTTTTTTTTAAACTCAGGACTTTACGTGAAATACTCGGATCTAGGAAAATTGCCCGAAAACAATTGACCTATGGAAAATTACCAGAAAACACTTGACCGAAAAGAAAATTGCCCGAATAGATAGATACCCGAAAAGAAAGTCCACCGAATTACAATTGACACACTGATTTTTGGTAAAATATTGCTCTTATACAAATAAAAAGCTCTTATATAATAGAAGAATACAAGACAGATTTGTAAGATCAAATGTGTGGTATCAAATTATTCGTAAAAAAATGTTTTTTCCAAATATGCTAATGAGCCACCCTCGTTCCATTTGAAAAAATTGAGATATGATTAAAAATACGATTTAAGCATTTTCTAACTGACCAGGACAAGACACTAAAAACATTAAACGATCAAATCTA